ATGCGCATACTTCAAGCAACTCAAGCGCATGAGACAAGAAAGTCAAGCACATACCTCAAGCGTTTTGCATGAGTAAGAAATTCATGTGCATGGAGACAAATCTTGAGGTATGTGCTTTAAATGTGCTTGAAAAAAAAAGCTTCACTAGGAAGGTCTTTGAGATTATCTTCTTACCATAGAATTCTGCACTCATGATCCACAATCAACTGACACACGAGAAAGGTAAAGAGTCTGTTCATCTTGACGGACAGTTACAGAATATCAGAGAAATGTCCGGACGAAACAAAGAAAAGATCCATAAAGTTGACACAACAGGCAAATACCAAAAGCCTGTTCGAATCGAACAAACCCAATCTTCACAAACTGAGGCCGAGAAAAATATACGAACCGGACAAACAACCAGGATTGAAAATACTGAAGAACCGCCATCAACTTTCAGGGGTTTCGAAACAATGGGATATCAACATTTTGTTAAAAAGATCGGTCTACCCGACGACGACCATGCTGCATTTGGCGAGAGAACGGCCACAGCAGAACGATTTCGAGATCGCGAATCGTCCGTACCTGACAATTACTGGCGTTATAGACGTGGACATGCTGTCTACCACTGGCATCCACCTGCACCGAGTTTTCGAAATGTTCGACGGCTTCACTGACCGTTAAATCAACAAGACATGCTATAGTATCCATTGAGTAACTCTTGACTTTCTCCATTTAATTGAGAAAAATGATAAACTTTCGCCAAATATCTCAAGGATTGAACGATTAGTCTCATTTTTGAACTCGACTACTGAGTTTTTTGAAACCATGGAGCGTGAGAAAAGTAATAGTAAAGTAGTAAAAACCTACTTAACTTCTCACCGTTACTTTTCAAAACGAAAAAGTAGGTTTTTGTATTTTCACGGCAGCTTTTGATCGGAAGATCATGTATAGTTGTATTAAAGATTGATTTCTTACATCGCAACGTTCATGAGCAATATGTACATCTCTGTACTAATACATTAAGTCTGAATTTCATTCATTCTAAAAGCTTTGTTGTTTAATAAAGGAACTAAAATTAGAGGAATTTGAAAAACTTTTTGCCACTAGAAAAACTCATTTTTCCAAAAAAAGTATGTCAGACGAACGAGAATCAGAAAACACATCTTTTATAAAAACTAAAATCTGTTGTATATGAGGATTACTGGTTATCTGATAATTTATCAAAGTCTCTAGGAAAAATATCAACAACATTAGCGGAAAACATAGATAATCGATGGTCCTGACTAACGTGGTAACGTTTAATTTCCTATAAAAAGCAAAATAACTTTGATTGCTCAGTTGGGGAAACCGTAAGTTTTTGTGTCTTTTCTAATAGAAGTTATTCAAAAAATAGCCGAGTACTGTTATAATCTGCCTTCCCCGGCAGCTCGTAAGGTTCATTCTCTCTCCATTCTGCTTTTGTACCATTCTTGCGCAATTCTGTTATTGCGCAACTCTTGTTTCATTCTTTCGTTTTCGTTTCCTTCCGCAAGGCATTTTCCTAACTCTTTCTGTTCTTACGTAACTCATGCGCAACTCTTGCGAAACTCTTGTTTAACTTTTCTACTATATATAGCCGTTCATTTGCTTCAAATAAAGATATCGGAGTGAGAGTTGATTCTCACTATAGCTTCACTTCTACGATTAGAGTTAGCCACTAGAGGACCTATATCCCCACAATTGGTGCACTAGCCGGCGTCTCTGTCAATTCAACATCACAGCGATTCAACCTGGCGTCAATTTGATTATTCAACCATTCACACCGATCGCTATCAATGTATCCTCGAGAAATCACTACAACTTCAGTCTGGACTCGACATGAGCTGCCTGTGTGTGCTCCACCGCTACCAAATGGAGATGCAAAGCTTTGGAAACAGATCAAATCTCGAAATCCGAATGCCACTCACGAAATAATCGAACGATATGTTCGTCAAGAACGTGCTCGTCTTGACCTGAAGTGGTGCCTTGATGATTATTTTGGTTAGAACGAGAACAATCCTTACTTGGGCCAGCTTGTGACAGTCAATATCAACGGTATTGTTAATCTCGCTTATATTTTGGAGTTAAATTCGACGAATATTACCGTTGCTCCCGTCGAGTCGCTCAATCTTACGGAAGTAGTTGATCGTGACGACATATATTCAGGCGAGAACGGCTCATTCTACGAAAAATTCGTAGAAACCCGTCATCTTCTTCATCCACAGCATGTGCTAGACTGTTTGGCAAAACAGAAGCACGACTTAGTACAATCGAATCATGCTGCGTCGTTCGATACTTCTTTCATGGGCAGTGTGCAAGATTATATCGAAATCCATTGGCCTGATGGAGAAGAAACATGGTTGACTCATGATGAACTGCCGCAACGAGTTCAGTTCATTCAATGCAAGCAGCCAATGGCGCTACCCATCTCAGCAACCAACATCATCGAATATCCTAAGCGAAAATTATCATTTGATTGCGGCGATACAGTGTCATCATCGACACATTGAGCCTCTCTTGTTGGTCAATAAGAATCGAATACTCGACACTTTGCTACAAACCCGTGAACATTTTCCAGAATCGATTACATCGCAGACGTCGCATGATGTTTGGGATGCTTTGTCCATCTCGTATCAATCTACCTTCAATGATGATCGACGTATGCCATCGAACGATGACGCACACAGTCTTAAAACATTACACTTGTCTACCATCGATCAGCGAAATGCCAAGATACGAAAGCTCAAACATCGTATTCACCCGCCCAGTCTACAACAGACGACTGTATCATTATTAGGCACATTCCTCATATTACTGTGCATAATTCTGGCCCCGCTCGTCAGATTAACCAAATTGAATTCTGTTGATTTACCCATCTCATTCAGCATTGGCCCAGTTGTGCTCACGCTTATAGTGATAACGCCTCATTTGATCTTCATTGATGGCAAAAACACCGGATATTTGATTCTCAACAAATTATGGAGTGAAATAAATCGAGACTGGTTCCGGACCTTGGCGGTATTTTCGAGGAAGTTACTTCTCTCTAACGTGTGCGACAGACAGGAAATTGCATGGGACATAGACGTTGGTATCATTTCACAACGGAATGTACGCAGATCTAATTCCGTGGACAAGTTGCGCACTACTTAACAAACACAATGGAACTAGATGCGGGTGGTTGGAGCCAGGTAACACGATTTTTGTCCCGGTTAAGCTAGCTCCACCTCAAAATTTCTTTCTCTTTGGATAGTGCACATAAAATACTCTATTTCATGACTGTCCGGATTTATCCACTTGTCTTTAGAAACGATGATAAGTTTGTATATTTTTAACTCAAATATGTATTTAAGTTAACAATTCGGATAAAAAAAGCAACGTTCCTAGTTCGCGACAACTTATTTCTAAACAAAAACTCATTACTTTCTTAAAAACAACAAGCACACAAACAAATTTGAATTCTTCTATAAAATATCTGGTAAGTATCTGAATGCAGCAGGGTTGCAGAGCAGATGCTCTGCAGTATCTGAATGCAGAGCAGGGGTTTTAATACCGTCAAAAAATGCTTTAATTCTTCATATATCCGTATCAAATAATGCAAATAAGTTTTTGACTTAATCTAGTCCTTCGTTGGCATTGTATCAAAATGTTTGACACCTTCAATTTCTTTATCCTATGAAGGCCTATCTCTACAATAGAATTCCATTGATGGTCTAGGTATTTCATCAAACAGTCCTAATTTGACGATTTTAATATCAGGCATTGTTGGCGAAGCTGTGTAAATTGGACTACCACACTGATTACAAAAACCACGTTTAATCTTAGTTCCACTATCTGTATTCGTATCTTCATAAATCTTCGGTTGAGATATTCTTCGATTGTTGTGCTTTATTAATGTGAAGCAAATGAATTATTTGCTGCTGTTTCTTCTTCTACCTTTTGATTTTGTAAATATCACGATATGACAAAGGTATTCTACTCGTTCGTCGTATAATTTTTCTGTTTAACATACAAAGCGTGACTGAAACGAAAAAGAAAACAATGATACAGGTGAGAAAGGAACATAGTCACCAGTTCTCAGAGGTAACTGTTTAGCTAAAAGCTGATGTAATATCTTTAAAAAAAGAATACTTTATAAAGAAGTACAATAATGATAAAAAGGGGAAGGGAAACTTCATGCCAAAATATGGAGTTGAAAATTTTCTTTGAATGTAATAAAGGACGGGGCACGATTTCTGCTAGAAAATGGCCCAATATGATTTTGAGTGAAATGATCAGAAATGCTTCCCTTTTCACTTCCCAACACTTCCTACTTTCAAAAATTTCTTCTGGTGTCTTTCAAACAAAAATTACTTTTTATTTTTCGATACCAGTTCAACAAAAACCATTTACCTTTTTGCGCAAGTTTCTCGTCCGACTTCAAAGTCTTTGAGCAAAGCTCATACATAGTAACGTAGAGAATTTTCCGGGCTTCAAAACAAGCTATAAACGAGGTTTTCAAAAATATGTCCATACAGGAAAACTCTCGAAATACTAGGTAGACATCATCATTTTCAAAAGTCTTAACATTTTAAAGGAATATTTTTGAACTCATCTACTTAGAACCGAAATGCTTTATATATAGAACGATAGAGAATTTCCTAGGCTTCCAAATGAGCTATAAATAAGTCTTTCAAAAGCAAGCCCATATAGATCAATAGTCGAAATACTTGGGCGATGTCAACATTTTCACCCATCTTAGTGCTTTAAACACATCTTTAGTCATTTTTCTGCCTTAATAAAAAATTATATATATTTCAAACACATACTACAAATTTTTTCTACCAAAATCCACTTTTGAGCATCCAAACCGAGTTTTCCTAGAAATATGAAGGTGACATCAGATAGGAAATTCAATTTTCTACAAACTGAGCTAAAAACTTTGTTTTAAAATCCTTGTCACAGTTTGAAAAGTCGAAAACAAGACGGCCGACTGGCCACAATTTTTAAGTTTTTTGAGATTTTTGGCACCAATACTTCATTCTAAAACAAAAAGAAGGTAATATTTGGAATCAGCGTCAAAAACTGCACCAGCTAATGTGCCTTTGCAGTTATTTAGAGATAAAATATTTTCGAGTACTTAGAAAATATAAATTGAAAAAAAGTGTCGAAAACGTTTTGTCTCTAAATAACTTCAACGGCACATTAGCTGGTGCAGTTTTTGACGCTGATTCCAAACATTACCTTTCTTTTGTTTTAGAATAAAGTATTGATGCCAAAAATCTAAAAAAACTGAAAAAACGATGTCAGTCGGCGTCTTGTTTTCAATTTTTCAAACTGTGACAAGGATTTTAAAACAAAGTTTTTAGCTCAGTTTGTAGAAAATTGAATTTCCTATCTGATGTCATCTTCATATTTCTAGGGAAACTCTGTTTGGATGCTCAAAAGTGGATTTTGGTAGAAAAAATCGGTATGTGAAAATCATAATCCTTCACTTGATGAACCTCTTGCAACATCAGTATTTTTGCATATTACGCGTGTTTCGCAAAATTCTCGCTTTGCTCACGAATCGTCTCTTAAGTATAAAAAACTGAGGCCTGCGTAAAAATGTAAACACGCCCGGCTGCTAGCAGATAAATATACACATGTATTTGCGTATTTTTTTATTTTTCGAAGTCTT